AAAAAAAAAAAATTGAAGAACAGTGTTGTAGACACCGAAATTTCAGTGAAATAAATGTTAACCAATGTATTAAAATTACAACATTTATTCATTTCACTTACATCACACACTTATTTCACCTACATCACACACTCATTTCACCTACAACTTCCACTTACTTCACCAACCTCACACACTTATTTCACCTACATCACACACTCATTTCACTTACAACTTCCATTTACTTCACCAACCTCACACACTTACTTCACCTACCAACTCCATTTACTTCACCTACAACATCCACTCACTTCACCAAAAAAATGGATGGTGGTGATTCACTCTCAAAGCCTATAAATAGGCTTCTCCATCAAGAGAAAAAGGGAGGGAATTTACATCACACCAAAACCTTGAAGCCTTGAAACTCTAAAGCTCTCAAGCAAATCCCGAAGGATTAAGAAAGCACTCTTCGTTCTTCATCAAATCCTCCTTCAAGATCAAGTCCCAACGGCCCTTGAAGAACTTCCACCAACTCGCCCTTGAAGAACTTCCACCAACTCAAGATCAAGCCCCGACGGCCCTTGAAGAAAGTGTTCATCATCCGTTCATCCTAAGATCAAGCCTCAACAGCCCTTTGGATCAACAACCTCAACAAATCCACACATCCAATCGTTCTTCAAGACTAAGCCCAAAAGCCCTTGAAGATCCGCTCATCCATCAACCTTCAAGATCAAGCCCAAAAGCCCTTGAAGAAATCCACACAACCATTATTCAAAGATCAAGCCCAAAAGCCCCCTTGAAGAACTTCCACCAACTCAAGATCAAGCCCCGACGGCCCTTAAAGAAAGTGTTCATCGTTCATCATCCGTTCATCTTAAGATCAAGCCCCAACGGCCCTTTGGATCAACAACCTCAACAAATCCACACATCCAATCGTACTTCAAGATTAAGCCCAAAAGCCCTTTGAAGAAATCTGCACAACCATTATTCAAGATCAAGCCCAAAAGCCCCCTTGAAGACCTGTTCAACAACCTTCAAAGATCAAGCCCTGAAGGCGGCCCTTGAAGAAACTTCCCTCAACCTTCAAGATCAAGCCCCAACAGCCCTTGAAGAAACTTTAAAGCGTTCATCCAAGATCAAGCCTCGACAACCCTTGGATCAATCGTACATCCACAAATCAACACCTTACAGAGATCGAATCAGAGGATCAAATTACAAAGAGATTGTAACCCCAAAATCATTAATTAATACAAAATATATTTTGTACACGTGTTCTTGTTTCAGGAATTTTTCGTGTTTACAAGTGTAGAATGAAGAACTCTACAATTGTTCTGCAAATAAACCTTCAATTAGTTCGGTTAGGCTAATTTCGAAATAACTAATCTAACAAAATAATTAAGTTAGGTTAACCAAATCCCTTAGGGGTAAAATTGACAAATCACCGTCTTATTTTGGTTAGGCCACTCATTTGGGCTAATTTAAAAGTGGGTTTTGTACTAACCATTAAATAAACTTACAACATGATTTTGATTAAAAGCTAAAGTTTCCAAACCTTTGGGTTAGTTTTCCTATAAATTAAATATGAGACGTTACAATTCACTTAAAGATAATATAGGAAGAAAAAAAAATTACATAAAAGAAATTAGTTTGACTTGGACATAAGTCAAGGGACTATAATTAGTTATTTATTTATTTTTTATCTTAGTTAAGGTTTTAGTCAAAAGATAATCCTTTTCAAGGATTAATATCTAGTTTCCTATTAAATTGTTATTTTAAAGTGATTTAGTGAAGAACTGTTATCTATAATTGTTTGGGCTTGGATTCATTTAAGAACTACTTGTGTTGGTGTGTATATATCTACATGTTACTCTAATTTAGCAATTGCTTCTAGCTCTAGGAGGCGCCTTTTGGGATGCTTGCATGTGATATTTTTGTAAGATTTGTAGAGACAAAAGAATTAGGTGGTATCATCCAGTTTTTTCCCTCCTACCATCTGAACCACCATTTTCATGGAAGGACGATCCACGAGGTGCCATTGGATGAACCATAGCCCTACAATTGCATTTTGGATTTTGGATTTTCTGTATATCATTACTAAACCAAGAAAATGAATGCAAATTACACTGCGCAGGTTTATTTTTAGGAGGAAGTGTCACATTTTTCTTTTTCCTAGTTAACTTGTTTATTGTCTATTGGTGATACATTATTTGGTTTGTAAATTTGGTTTAAAAGTTTAGTGTTCCTAGCATTATCCATTGGGTAATGCTTGGGAGACACATTTCTAAACCGAATTTTATAAACCAAATAATGCAGTTGTTTATGATTAAATTATCACTTAAATGTGATTAACGTGCTTATTTCCTATTGGTGATACATCAATTGATTTGCAAATTTGATTTAAAGTTTTGGTCTTCCTAATATTATCCTTATCCATTTAAGCGATTGGATGGTTTAATTGTGCAAAATTCCGAGGGTAGACATTTTTTAGTTTATTAATTAATTAATTTTATCAGTTCATACATCTGTTAAAGTTACTATTAAATCAGCCATTAATTGATGATGTGACTTCTACTTAGACAATGACTGCACGCCATATCAATATGAGCTTATATAGATATTAAAACATTTAAATATACAAAAATTAAAATTAAAAAAAAAATAATAATAATTTTTTTGCCCCCTCCCTCCTTGTCGTCCCCCTCCCTTCCCCTCTTCTCCTCGTCGACTCTGCGCACATCCACTCTTACTCCACCCACCAAAGGAGGAGGCAAAATTTATCTGATTTGGTTACGATTTGTCGGCCAGCCTCAATTGGCCGAAAAAATCACCTAACGCCAAAATTGCTCTAATTATACCAAAATGAAGACTGTGATGAGTGGAGTAAGTTTGATACCTTCACCGAGGTCTAATTTGGCCGGGAAATGTCTGAAACCACCCTTAGACCGCCAAAAACCATATAAAGGGTAATCATGGATTTAACTTCATCGGGACTCCGACACCTCAACCATTGCTTGGGTCTTGTCCCTGGGTTCAAGAGAAGTTGAATGATGGTGGAGATTGACGGAGATTGACGGTGGAGCTTGTAGAAATGGTGAAATCGTCGCTGTGAAGTAGAGAAGTGGACAGGGTGAGTTCGTCGCGAAACTGGGGTCAAACCCAGTCGAGTTTAGGTGGAAAACGAAGAGGAAGTGGCATGGTGATGATTGGTGGTGGTGAATGACTGTGAAACGCCGGAAAATTTGACGGAAAATTTGTCAAAAATTACGCAGGGAACCAGGAGAGGGGGGTGACAAGGAAGGAGACGGCAAAAATAAGTTTATATTTTTTATTATTATTTTTAAATATTTTAATATATTATTTTAAACATTTTTAATATCCATGTGGGCCTATATTGACACATGATGCTCAATTCTTATCCACGTGGGTTGCCATATCACCAGTTAACGGCTGATTTAACAGCAACCTTAATGAATGTATGAAACTTGCCAAAAATTATGATTTCAGGTACCACTTTGGAATGAAAAAAACTTGATGTACCAAATGTTGAAAACTAAGAAACTGCAAAGTAGTAAACTGAGATTAACTCTTTATATTATTAAAACCTTTAGTTACTCTCGAGAGCATATACATGATACATTAATTATTTATTTTTCTCAATATTTTTATCGAGTAATGCTAAGAAGATCACATATTCATATCATATTTACACTAAGAGGAGGGGAGTTCTGCTAAAACCACACAATAAGCAACTTAATTTGGTATCGAATTCGTCATCCATGAGATTCGAAGTTAAGACTTCTCACTTATAAGTAAAGAGGAATACGCCCATACCGTAATACTGAGTGGCTATTAATGTATTATTTTATGTGATAAGTGATACACACAATCATCATTCAATAAGATAAATTTATTAATTGATGTGATAAGTACACATCACAATACAATCTATCTTATTTTGGACACTTTCCAGATACTAATCTTGTTGAAGCATCTTTGATTAGCTTTACATCTTGAAATATATATGATTTTATGATTCCACATGGATCTTCATTGTAATTTATTTGAACTAATGAACTGTACACTCTTGTGCGTGGGATGGTGGTGGTAAAATCAACTTTAACCTATTATTTATGAAAAAACAACTAAGAATTGGCAATTAGAAGATGTTGTAGAGTGTCATTTAGTAATACGGTCTAGTAGTATTCACACTTACTTGTATATGAGAGATTTTAAATTCAATTCTTATAGATGTAATCTTAAAACCTCTCCCCACGTTAAGTCAATGCGGAGAGCTGCCTCCCCCAGTCCTTTGCTTTCCTTGCCTTTTTGAGCAGATCTACTATGGAATCGATCTTTTGTTCTTGTAGTGTTTGCTTCCTTGACTTTGATGGTGTGAAAGCAGATCTGATCTGCATCATTGAGGCTGGCTGGGGTTCATGCACTGTTCTAAAAATTTCCGTTATGTCCTGTATAGGCTACTGGCCACCGTTCCGATTAATCTCTGCATGGCTGGCCACTGTCCTAAACCTGTGTTCTTTCTTTCTTTTCTTGAAAAACTGGATAATTCATAACCACGGACGAAGCCAAAGGAGTAAATAGAGAGCCCAACAAAGAAAGTAAGAATAACGAGAAAATAAGGAAAATAAAGAGAGACAAGGCAACAAGTGCCATAAAGTCATCTCGTTACGGACTGCACTAAATTATACAAAAAAATCGATAACTTTCATATTGCATTCTATATTTTTTTCAATAAAATGTAAAAAACTTGTTAAATACTTATATAAACACTCATTATATACTTGTTTTCCATGTTTTCAATATGTTCTAACATTTTATAATATATATCATTTTATTTTGTAAGTGCCAATGCCATTCATAGTGTCTAAATCACGGTACGGTGTATTTGTGCTCGTTGTTGATACTTGTATTTAGCAGAACCCTCCTCAAGCTAGGGTTTCTGTCATGTACCAAATTTGTATTTGACCCCTGTTAATGAAATGAAGTTCATTCTCCAATGGCCATGAAAATTAAATATCAATCACTTTTTTCTGAGACCACGAGAACATAAAGAATTTGAACTGCATCATACATACAAATCCAACTACTCTATCAATTTAGACATGAATATAAACCGAACGACGCAAAAAAAGAAAAAGATCAAATGACTGTTCATGAATCCCAAACAAACGTTTATATAAATCCTATAACTCAGACTGTAATTTTCATCCCTTTTACTGGCTATCTTAGTAAGAACACTTTCTGTAGGCCACCGCTTCCGGTAGGCCACTGCTGGGATCTGCCTCAGCTTCTGGAGGGAGCTGGGACAGATAACCAGGTGTGTGAGCTTTCCATTTAAATATTCCGGCTCTGACTTCTATCATTTTCTCTTTTTGTCAAGAATTCATGCACTGACCTTGCGACTTTTATGAGTCGCCACCACCCCCAGCAATCCACCGCCAAACCCCACCAGAACCTTGTCTTTGAACAGATGAGGCAAGCTCATCCCGTTCGAATGCAGATTTTTGACCCCGAAGTGCCTGCACCTCATCCTCAATGGACTGCACCGATTCTAATTTCTTTTGCAGTTCACCGATTTGAGCCTAGGAAAACAATATAAGAAAAGAATCAGCTGCTACATGGAACACATTACATTCGTAGAAGGCACGTCAAATGACCCAACCCAAATAAATTAAACAAGTTATGAAAGGAGAAACCTCCAATTTAAAGCATCTTGATCTCTCAGCTACTAGTTGCCCTTGGACTGAAAGAAGTTCCTGAAAGGGAAGGTTGAAAGGATGAGATACTCTAAAACACAATAATCACCTTAGTAACCAGTGTCTCTAAGGAGCATACCTTGGACAACTCAGCATGAGTATTGTTGACTTCTTCAATATTCTGCCCAATCCTGGAATTTTCTGTCTTGACTTCCACCAGCGACAACTCCAGCACACTTTTCTCCTCTGTAAGGGCCTCTATCTCAACCGTGAAATCTTGTTCATAATGCTGGTTTCCAGGTCCCTTGGAGTTCAGCTCTGCTGTTTTGAAATCCAAATTTTCTATTTTAGATAAGGCATATGCAGCAGTAACAGAAGCTGCTGCTGCAGCCGCTGCTGGTGACTGGAATATCTTGGGTTGTGATAAGTCCCTCGGTTTGGGCATCATTACAAAAACCTGTAAGAAAAGAAAGGCAATGAACAATAGAAGGGGATGCACAACACACCTCATGCAATGCAACATAGGCTTCTGAACAATAGGATACGAAACCTGGCATTAAGTAACATACCTCATTGCTATACTTCCCATTATAGCCACCAAAGGCAACCAAATGCTTCTTTCCATCTATAGTCACTGAGCAGACACTGAGTCCCTGTTTCCAAATCATATTCATTGCTGAATTACAAACCAATAAACTAGAAATGTGTACTTGTAAAAGGCATGATCCTAAACGATATTCAGTTACACCGGGAGCAACAAACCTTTTATGTAACAAAGCTGGATAACAAGTCATATTAGAGTAATGACAATACGTCACAAGTATATTTTCGGTCCAGTATATTACTAACTATGAAAACTGCCATTTTCTTTTAGTATTTTAGTGGAACTATATGTCAGTGGATGCAGTCATCAAAATTTCTTTCGGACTGAAACTTCTCGGAAAAACATATATAATCAAAGAAAGGAACAGACCTCACTAGCGAGTGCATCCCTTTGCTTCACACTGGTTGAGACTGACCACACTAGCTTAGACATATTTAACACCAGAGTTTCGGGGCAGCCTGTAAAATTTTACAGAAAGTATCACAGAAAGCTAGAAAAGTACATTTATCCAGTAGGTAAAAGCCACAATAGTACATATTAACGTGCGCATATATACCATTTTTGTTATCTCCACCGCCAACTATATACCAGTTTTCATCAATGGTTATACCAGCATGACCAGCCCTAGGAGCCACTAGATCACCCTGAATTTGTGGTTGGGACCACTCCCTCTGAAAAGTAATGGCAAATTGTGGGCAAGAAATATAAGAATAGAAAATACAACAATTAACTGGAAAACTGTGCAGCTTAAAAAGCATGGAAAATCAGACTACTAATAATGATTCAGTTTTTGGTCACAACTAAAAGTAATTTTTCATTCAGCCTATACTCAGAACAGGTTATTTGTTAGTATAGGATGACATAATCATTTTTCAAGGTATGACGAAAAACCTTCAAAAATAATGCTCCTGAAACCAGAAATGTTTAAGTTCACTAAAAACTCATAAACATTCCATGATGTGTGGCATATGGTAGAAGGCAAATGGACAGACTCGGAAAGTAAATACTTCGCTTTGCATCATAGCCAATTTCTCTTATTGCACAAAAGCCCACGTATCCTAAAGTCTATTTGATACATGCAGTCCTCTACTTGTTCAAATGAAGCATGAATCTTCTGATCTCAAGGTTGAAAGAGAGTATACAGATGCACACAATAAAAAAGCAAAAAACAAAAGTAAAACAAAACAAAAGAAGATGTTCCTAGATCACTCAACTGAGGCCTCTAGGTTTACAGCAGGATGGAAGCAAAAACATGAGATGCTCATTAATGCATAGAAAGGAGCTCTTACATTATATAGCACTTTCGGTAAAAATCTAAAAAGGTGAAACAGAGATCTTTTAATTTCATAAATATAAGTTGCAAAATGGTCTCAGAAACTCATTAAGTGTTGATAAAAGTTGTTGCCTTCATTGGAAACCAACATATTAATTACCAACTAGCTATATTCTGCGTTAGTTTTCATTAATCACTTCAGTACGCTTCTAGCTCAGAAATCATCTGGTGAACTGAAAACTAATAAATTAAACATTTAAATAATGCATGTGTATGTGTATTAGAACAGACTGCACAATTTGTAAACTAGTCCTGATGTAATCAGTAAATCACGTACTGCTTGCAGGTCAAGTACATGAAGATCATTGAAGAAAGTAGCATGAGAACAACCACCAAAAATTAGAAGGTAGCGTTCTGCATGTACTGCAGCTGCGTGATCGAATCTGGGAGCTGGAGGTGTCTGCCTATCACAACATAAGAAAGTAATGCAGAATTCATAAAAAAACACGTCACAGAAGTTGTTTCAAATAAAAGTGTATGGATATTTACGTTGCTTCCATCACATCCCAAGTCATTGTCTCTAAATCAAGAACATTAACATCATTCAACAATCTTCTGCTCTTGTCTTCTCCACCAAACATTATCAGTCTAGAACCAACCAGTGTGGTGGACTGGCCCCCACGAGCTACCTGAAAAATAATTTGCAAGCATACCAAACAGGTTAAATTACCACAGAACAATGGATCAAATATATTAGAGCAACAAAATTAGAGAAGGGATATCATATATGGAAACCCATTGCACTCTGTGGTTTGGCTAATATCAGTTTGCCATCCAGAAATTACATGGATGAATGCATACCAAACAGGTTAATAAAACAGTTGAAAGCACAAAGCACAAGGAAAAATAAGGATTCAGCCATCATACTGGAACATTTCCTGAGGTCTCGATGATGCCACAGACATGCGTCTCCAAATCGATGAACCAAACTACAAGTCCATTAACATTGCAAAAGGTTTTAAACGCCAATTAAAGTGCACTTTCAAATGTCTCACAAGAGATAAAATATTATCCATGAACTAACAAGATGGCCGTTTTAGTAACAAACCTATTATTCTATCAGACGATTTCCTTGAATTTCCACCAAGAAGAAGAAGTTTATTTCCCCACCTAACCTGCCAAGACATAGACACAAGTGTTCAACTGGATAATGAAAACCACGTGAAATCATAAACGAATGGGATGACGGCCAGACAAAATGCGAATAGGACATATACAAACAAATAATATGCACAGACAAACACAAAATAGTACTGTTCTCATGAACATTTACCATATTGTGAGCAGAAATTCCTGGAAGAACTTCCTGTAAGCCACTGTCTTCAAATTTATCCGAATTGGGTTTCAGTTTAATGTTAGACCACAACAAATTTCTAAAGTCAAAGACCTGCAAGAAGAGTCCAGTACTACATTACACAAAAGATGAACCTCAAAGTCAAAAAGTACATGAGCATGTACAATACCTGGACATCAGATAGGTTCCGACCATTACGACTCCCACCAATAATGTATAATTTTTCATCCGCTACTACAGCAGCATGCTACAGTGAAAAGAGAAATAGCATGGTAAGTATTGGTTGATCAATTTCCTTTTCTTGAAAAATAAATGAAAATATTGTTGATAAATAATGAAAGTATTTGATAAATATAAACAAAACAAGTTTGATTTTGCACTGACTTTAAAAAAATGACTTTAGGAATTACAAAAGAAGAAAAAAATGTGAACTTAAACAAAATATTTCCCTATGGTTTTAACCTAGAGCTTATCTAAATTTAAAATAAATGCGTACCTTATACCGAGCTGGTGGTCGTGGACCAGAAACAGGGAGTGCTAACCACTGGTCATAGGCCAAATCTGTTTGCCAATTGCTGGTATCAACATCTTTCACAATCCCTTCGATTCCCATAGAAGCTGTCTGCAGGTGAACCAATTGATTTAAAGTATTAAATCACCAAAAGAAAGAACTAGCAAAATAAACAGACATTACTTCCACCAACTTTTCATAATAAACACAGTTCCTGTTTGAGAGCATAAACAAAAAAACATCACCACTTAGTATCATTTCAGAAATACTATGATAAAGACCCACTTGATATTATAGCCTACCAGAAGGAATCCCCTATAATGTAGCTAGTTACTGATAGCACAGAAATTTGAGAAGTACAACATAAAAATTACTAATACTAGATTGAAAAACAAAAAAAATCCTGTGGAAAGAATGACGGAAAGGCAACTACAGTGGTTTGAACATCAGCAAGAAAGACCTGTTACAGTTTGTAGAGGCAGTTTTTTTGTAACGAGAGTGAAACTTTATACTCTTACCAGCCTTCCGATCGCTTCAGTTCCCGCCTTGTCCTCAGTAATGTCCAATTGTACTGTTTACTAATATTAGTTCCTATTCCATTTCTCATACAAAAAAAGATTTACCATATACATTATGAAGACTCCAAAGGGAAAAAAAAAAAAAGAATATGAAAAAATTTGAAACACCAAGAAACAGATTAATGATCTGAGGTAACACTCGTATCCGAAAACTGTTCAGCTGCAACCAATCTTCTTCCTTTCTGTCTTGTTTCTCTCAATTTAGTTCAATTGCACAATTAGCCTAACGAGTATCAGTTTTCAAAGACACTAACAGAAACAGCGAGCAAATTTGGTTCATACGAAGAATTTATCAAACACTGAAATTGAAATTGATTGAATTCAGTTACCATTAAGCATGACACAATTTTTCTTTTTACCCCAATCAAAAGAAAAGGACCAAGACTAATCCTTTGACAAAATTGCAACTGCCCAGTTCACATTTCTGTATTCCGAAACCAACCCATCATAATTCACGTCAAATCAAGATTGAATTTCTAATTTTCTCTCTCAAAAATCTCAGCAACCAAACAAAAATGTGTGTCCACCTTCATAAATAAGTTTACAAACGGACAATTCAATCAAGGGGATAAACCGTGAACCAAATTAATGAAATGAGGTCATATTCTGATACGAAAAACGAGGGAAGTGAGGATTATGCACCTTGAAATTGCGAGGGAAATACTACTGTCCAGAGGAGATCAGGGAGGAGATGGGCGGCCGGAGAGTTGAATCTGAAGCACAATGTTGAGGAGATCGGACGGTGGAGATTCAATAATTGGGAGGGAATAGAAGAGTGCCACCGTTAAGATCTGTTTCTGTATCCCCAGGCGGTCTGGCTTGCTCTGTCTGTGAGTGTCTCCGTACAGACCGACGGAATGAGTAGAAGATTAAAGTCGACGTTTAGACTCTGGGGTTGTATCGGAATTTTAGAGATTTTAATGCACTTATAAATTTATTTACAAATGTTTATGGAGTTTTCATTAATTTGTAGACATTTTATTTTATGTAAAAGTTTTAATTCAATTTTCTAAAAGAATTTACGGAAAGTTATGAGATTTGTAGACGATTAAAATGCAAAATGAAATTTTCAATTCTCTCGAATTTTTTAACTTTTTTTCAAATTTTTGAAATTAATTTCTAATTGAATATAGTATTATAATTTTTTTTAATTCTAATTGAATATATCCGGATATATAAGAATTTTAATAAATTATCTCAAAACCCTCCTTGAATGCACTTTAAAATTAATAGATAATCATTTAAACTCTTAATTGAATACTCTTAAATCCATTACAAAATTTAAAATCGTTCAAAATCTCAACTGAATACACCTCTTAAATTAAATAGTGTTTACGAATAAAAAAAATACTACATTAATTAATACTTAAATAATAATTTAATCATTAACTTTTATATCATTTTATTTATAAAATTTAACCTATTTTTTTGGGTCAATAAACCCATTTTTTTGGTCAATACCTTCTTTAGCTCATTTTGCCAAATTAAGAAAAATATCCCTTTGAAGAAACAAAAAACAAAGAAGGGGTTTCTGGCAGAAAGACATGGAGACGAGTTTCATCCGTCTTGTCTCCGTGTGTTTCCTACTCACCTCCTCCTTCACCTCTCCTCACTCTCTCCCCATCCCACCTCTTCTTGGAGTTCACCCACTCGGTCTCTCTCTCTCTCTCTCTCTCTATATATATATATATATGAAATTGAAATAATTTCTTCTCTTGTGTGGATGCAGATGAAAAATACTATGGTTCAGAGGTGATCAACTGCAGGGATGACTCCAAATCCTTCACTAGAGACCGTCTCAATGATGATTTCTGTGACTGCCTTGACGGAACCGATGAGCCTGGTACTCACTCGCTCTAAACTCTCAATTATTAATAACCCCCTCTTTGAATTTTTGTTTCTACATTCGCCTCGTAAAAATTTTCCATTTATCTTCCTGTCCCTAATTTTGAATTGGGTCATTCATTTATTGGTGAACGCCCAAATAGAAAACACAGGCACATCAAGGAGATTGCAATTTGCAGGAACTAACTTTTGTAACTCTACTGACCGGAATATTTGATCGGAAATGCCGGAAACTTGCAGTCACTGAGGAACTTTTAGGGTTTAAATAGGGTAGAAAATATGAAAATGTGACCTATCCACAAAAAAAAAAATTCTAAATGGGGTGGAAAGGAAAGACTAATTTTTCTGGTGTGTAAATAAAAAAGAAAGTATGGTAATTGGAGTAAACTGTAACTACCCCTTAATAATATTAGTTTCAGTTCTCATTTCCAAGTTTTTCTTCCTATTTAAAGTTTTGTTTTTATGCTATGCATATAATCCCCCTGTTTGTGTCCCAGTAGTCATTTAAGCTTCTTTTGAATTTTTCAGGGACTTCCGCTTGCCATGCAGGAAAATTCTATTGTTTGAATAGCGGAAGTACTCCGCGCTTCCTATTTTCTTCTCGAGTTAACGATCAGGTTTGTGGTAAGTATCATATGTATAGTTACTTATTTGCTTGAATCGCATATTTATTTAAGGCTTTTCTTAATTAATTCTATGTAATACATGGCTCATGGCGCTTGTAGCTTAATTTTTTCAAACAAGATGAATTGATGTTGTAACACCCTAGAGATAAATAAGGGAAAACGGGATGTCACTTCTCTTGTAGAGGAGACTCGCTTTAAAGAAAAAGGGGAAACTCAAAACAATTTAAGTACTAGACCTTATTTTAAAGAATACATACTCAAGTCATACATAGGTAAGATGGTTTAAAGTAATTTAGCACCCTCCTGAGGTTAATGAAAAACTTCAAACATAACTTTAAAAAATGGGTAACTGTATTAGTAGTATACGGCGGGGACTAAGTCGTAGTGTACATTTTTATTTAAGTTGTGTTCTTTGATATTTTTCTTTAAACACTGGAGAGTGCTAAATTTCTTTAGACCAGTTTTTACATATGTATGACATGAGTATGTTCTCTCTATATAAAGTCCAATGCTTAAATTGTTTTGAGTTTTCCTTTTTTGCTTTAAAGCTAGTCTCCTCTATGAGGAAGTGACATCTAGTTTTCCCTTATTTATCGCTGGGATGTTACAGATGCCTTGCTTTGTGGTATTGCTATACTAAAAAAAAAATGTTTTTGCTTGGATAACGTCCATCATATAATATCAGGTCCTTTGCCATACATTTCTTCCTCTGCCGGTGGACATATGTAAAACCCAGTCAAGTTAGTCATGTGCGTGTTTCTAATGGATTTATATTCAAACACTAATTAGTTTTGAATGATTCTGCATTAATTCAAACTGATTTTCATTTGCTCATTGTATTTGAATAATTGAATTCTATACGTTTTTTCTCCAGCTGTTAGCTTGTATATATGAACACACTTGCACACTCGATTTGCTGTAATATTTCTTTACATGGTTTAAATACATGACTGCATCCAGTGTTGAGGATGGGCTTTCAGTCTGAATTCCGAAGCTCTCTAACTTTTGGCATGATATAGTCCCCATATCTCTAAGCTCTGACATCAGAAAATCCATGGCACTAATCCAGTTTAATTCTAAGCTCTGGTCTGGTCTAATCATGTGTTTGCTTTCCATATATAGTTCCATTATCCATTTAGATTTATGATGTTTGTCTGTTGCCATCCACTATTTACATAGATTGTTGCGATGGAAGTGACGAGTATGATGGTAGTGTCAATTGTCCAAACACATGCATCATGGGCGGGAATATTGAGTACAAAACCATCCATAGCTTCTCAAGAGTTGGTGATCTTGGGCAAATTGACAGAAAACAATCCAAAAGTGGAGTTAATTTGGACGACTTGATTCAGAATCTTACAGGTAGTCTCTTCTTTCTTACTTGTCTTTTTATAGCTAAAATTATGTGTGAACGAAAGTTGGGGCTTTTCGTGTTTCCAGGTTTGAAGATATTAATCATCACACAAGTACTTCTCACTTTTACTGTCGTGGTTTTCCGGATTCTCCGCCGTCGTACCAGATCTAAAAGAAGACGTTAGCCTTGAAAGTAATTCACTATTTCTATATTCTACTTTGGATAATATGATTCACGACTAATCTTGTTGTTATCTCCTCAATACCTTACAAACTTGGAATCAATATTTTCTCAGGTCGTATTGCCATAAATTGCTGATTTTTAATGGGATACTCCAAATATGTTCAAGGATTTCAATACACGAACTTGGCTTGCCTTGGGAGGGTTTAATATGAGCCCTATATTAAGAGAGTTATGGAAGCTTCACACTTATCCAATCGTTCTATGGCAAGAGTTTCACTGTACATCAAATTTTCGTCCGGCAGGCGCACACTAATGTATCTGAAACTTGAACATGCAGTAGATTATGCTGTAGGAGTTTCTGTCATTGCTCAGAGTTGCGTCTAGCTTGTAAAGTAGAAGTACTCTTTGTTCCATGTGTATTTGTAGGCGCAATCTTCTTGTTCTCTTGAAAAATTTTGACCGGACAAAACCTTAGGCTTAGGCAAACGAATTGCTTGCATAATGTCGTGTGGATAAATATATGAAATGCCCTGCAATGATTTGCTTGTAAATTGCAATAAGCAGGTGAAACCCCTGAACTGTAGGCTCGATTTCAAGTTGGAAGCATGGTCTCGACTCTCAGGAGGTTTTGTGTAAGGTACATAATGGAAATTATGAGAATGCGGAAAGAAATCAAAGAGTAGAAAGGTAAATTAAAAGGCATCTCATTTCATCCTGGTCGACTTGTATGCAGCTGAGAAGCCAAGTTGGCGGGATTTCAAATCTATCTTCCGATCGTGTCAACGTGACATCTTCTTATTGGATTGCCCTACATTTGACCGCGTGGCGCTCGTAGCAAAGATATTGTCGATGATGCGGAGACATTGGCATAAAAAAAGATGCGTACATGAATAAATTGTGGTATTTTTATGCGTAAGCGGAAACGAATTCTAATAAAGTACTACATATCAACATCGTAGATGAAGGCTAAAACAAACAATCTCAAAATAAGAACACAAGAGATTTAATCTAGTTCGACACAAAATCTACGTCCACTGGTGAAACACGACGAGGAATTTCACTAAATAGACGAGATTACAAAAGCGTGTTTAACTCTCACAACTCAAATGCCACAAACTACAAAATCCTAAACCAAACGAGTAGAGAACTCAAAACAAATAAATGGATAAGATTCTCCCAATTGTTCTCTAACTTAAATTGATTCTTACCAAATTCCCAAACGAATGAGCCATGAATTTGCCACACTCATGATTCCAAACAGTGACCTCCACATAAAACCCAAATAGAGAAACTTCTCTAAACTAATGGTGAAGCACACAAAATAAACTAATGGAGAAGGAGAGGAACCCACTGGGTTCCCTTTGACACGTACCCGACCCGACGGCACCCATGTTTTCCAACGCCATTAAGGCAATTTTTTCCAGCAATTCACGCCGCGCCACCACCTAGAATCAACTCCATGACCCTTCTTCTTCAAGTTCCACCCCAAACTCGATGATTTTTGGTCTTGGTTTTGTGGGAATAGCACCGGTGGCACCGTGGTGTTCTTGGTGGCAATCTACCAATTTTTGAAGCAAATTCCTTAGATCTCTACCACCATTAGACTCTCCTTGAACCCAAGAACAAACCCCAACCAACCATAGAGGCGGTGGAGCACCAGAGGAGTTGAATCAAAGCACACCTAAATCTAGGGTTCCGACGGGTTTGAGTGAAATTGAGGTTTTTCTCGGCCAAATTGGCCTTAGCCACAGGTATGAAAGTTTCTCCACTCATTGAGATCTTCCTTCTTGTAAAATTTGAGAATTTTTGGAGTTGTTGGATTTTTCGGTGAGTCGAGGCGGCCAACTGCCACGTATGGTGGTGCGTGGGGGAAAAACTGAGGTTCCTCGACGTGGCGAATCTGAATCCATCATCCGTTTTCCAAAATTAGAACATTTTAGTAGAGTTTTACTAAAAGGTTCCTAATTGTGTTTAGGCGCGTTGGCGAGAAGTGATCACATTCTTGATAGTTTGAGAGGCTTTCGGGCAATGGAAAACTTGTGAGCGGACCCCTTCATAACTTATATATTTTTATAAAATATTAGCCTAGCATGCATTGCATATTTTATGATTGGAGCATGATTTATATTATGTTTTACGGATTTTCATACCTATGATTATTTAAATTGCTTTTACGAAATAATTACGATTTATCGGATTTATATATCACTAAAGGTTATGAATCATTGGATTTTTTGTTATAAAATTCTATGAATATATGTTTATCATGGATTTATGAATATGGTTTGCCATGGATTTATGAGACGAGGTTTGAGCTTCTGAGCTACGATGTTTGATACGAGATTTTGAGATATGTTTTCAATACTTACCTAGTGGGTTATCATACGACACATCCACACACCACGGGTATTATGTCTGTGGCCATAGGACACAGATGATGGAGGAGTGAGATATGATATATTATATACCCCTAACTTCATCGCCGAAAGTGGTGTCGGACAGCTTCACTAGCCACGTCTAGTGTCAGTGTGAATGTATGCTATTTTATACAGCTTCACCTTTGGGTGATGGATAGGTTATACAGCTTCACCTTCAGGTTGATGGACAGATTATTCAGCTTCACCTTCAGGGGATGGACAGGTACTGCCTTCGGGCGATTATGATACCCCTAGGTGAGTACTTCGCGGATATGATTTACAGAGGTTTTACAAATGTTTTACATGGCATGCTAGGGTTTTTCATAAAATCTATATTTAGTATTATATATATGTTTCAAAACAGGGGGTTACTATGTTCATAAAGAAAACGGTTTTTCTATTATTAATATTATTATTATAAACTTTGGTCCACTTACATTTTCTGGTTTTGTGCTCCCTCAGGAGTTAGGATTGAGGCACATGATCCCGGCGTCAGGACACTTTTGCCTATGTATTCTAGAGTCTTCTTAGTATAGGTATCATTCCTTTGTTCGTATATTTTCCTAGTAATTCTTCCATATTATTCTTAGTAGTTGTATGCTTAGAACACGTTCCTGCTATGGTATTTTACGTTTTAATTGCATATCTTTTACTTATATGCATGTTTAAAATGGCTTCGTCACCCTCAGTTGTCGACCAATACGTGTCTACCCTAATATTTGGAATTATCGGGGCTGGGGCATGTCAAAGGTCCTATTTATAGTGCATAGGACTTAGGTTACAATGAGAATCCTAATTCTAATTGGAAGTAAATCCAAATCCTAATCAAATAGGTAATTAAGAAAACCTCTCCACCAAGCAAGGAATTCAACCAAGAAGTCAAATCCAAGCACAAATAGGACACCAAATAAAATAGGTAACACAAAGCTAATTTCTGCATCATCCTAATTTTGAGCCGTAAATCCCAACATAAATGTTATGCTAAAACCAGTTCAATAAACTCAGAATCAAAACGTAAAACAACATTATCTTCAAATCCTTTGGTGCAAACATTATTGCTTATTGTATGTCATCCCAAAGCCAAGCGGATATAAAGGTCTGCAACATGCATAGGCAGTTGTTCAACCCTTTTAAGCCATGTCACCGGGAGTCGACCCTCGAAGTCAAAATCTCCAAAGATTGCATCCACAATTCTCTCTCCTTCAGTATCAGGGAGCTAAGCAGCAACAAGAGCATCCATCTTTTCCAAGAGCCAGGGCTCAAAAACTAAGGGTCTTCCGGAAATCAGAATCGCCAAAACGGGAATTATGTCAGCAATCGAGCTTATGACACCCGTTCCATTGAACGGGATCACATTCCGAACTGTAACCCCTGCCTAATGCATACGGAGCTTCACCAACAACCACGATCGCAAAAGAGATATCTTCACGCGCTAAGGTGACTGCTGACGGATATTTCTCTTAAATTATTTCTGTATCATCTCCAACTACTTTCTTAATAGCTTCCAAGATGGTTGTCCCTCAACATGTTCATGTGCTACTAAATTAGGGCAATAAAGGCATTGAGGAGATATAACAGTGCTGATTTACAAACTATCAATTTAATTCCGTTAAAAGTAGCAATAGCCAAATTTCTTCAAGCACAAGAAAACACAACTTCTATGTAGGCTGTTGTTAGTTTGAAGAATTCTGGTTCGAAACTTGAGAATTTAAAGTTTTTAGAAAGGGAAATCGTAGTCTTGTTAAGTTATATTGATCACAATTAGTCTTCCAATTATCAAATATAATGGAAATAGCCACATGATTCCATACCGATAGTAATCGGGCCGCTGCTACCATGTTTTGTAGCCGACCATCCTCCACATTGATTTAGAAGATCATCGGCATGTGTTCCAGCAACAAGTATTCTTTTAGCATTTCTTTCTATTGGAAGATAAGGTTTCATTGGGTCCTTTCACCAATGACTTGCGAACTGCTTCACGTGCTAGATCTCTGTGCAGTTGCGCCCAAGAATCATTGAAGTTAAAATTAATTCACTAGTACTAACTTGATTCAAACTGGTAATTTGTCAGATGTTCACTGATCATGCACTTTCAAATGGTAACAAGCAAAGCTTGTGGAATGTGTTAGGTTTTGAACGTACACATATTATGATAAGGATACCTAAATGTCGTTTAAACTGATTAGGAGTCGTGGCCATATGAACAAACTATTTTCCTATTATTTAAGATTTGGGATCATGATACAAATGAGATTAGTCAGCCTCATTTGAACGTGTAAATTAATGGGTATTAACTGATCCCATGATAGCTGGGATCACGTTAGGAATATACTCGATAAATATGAACGTCCCTGCTCATTAGACACACGTTCGCTCAATCACTAGACTATCACTAGTATTGGACATAAGGACTGTGTGAGTAGAAAACGTTCTAAAAGTTTTCTCTTCGGTGCATTCATCTCATATATATATGATTATTCAATCACAATTGACTAACACTTACATGAATGTTGTGATCCAAGTCTGAGAATAAATTCTAATCTAACATTTGGTATTAGAGTCGGGGAGCAGGCTTGTACGTACTGCCACGCAATGGGTGGGTCCCCTTGTCCCTGTAAAATGATGGTAGGTCCCTTGGCCCTGCGTGGTTGCTGATGTGTGGATCTTCAATATGTGACCCGCAAATTAGGTCCCATGTGAGAGGGTGTGTCGAATCCCACATCGGTCGTAGAAAAACAAAAGTAATAGTTTAAATATCCTAATCATACTCTAAACTAATACTGAGGCATTTTGAGATAAAATACCACACCTGACGGATTATCCAGGTGGTAATTATCAAGTCTGAGACAATATCGATATTGTTGAAAGTGGGCCTTTGGCCCATCTCTCTGATAATTTTACATGGTAATATATTGGTCCAGTGATATGATTGCATGAAATTGTGATTCATCCATCATAACGTGCATATATTTCCTTTCAAAGAAGGGAATATTTTGAGTGGTTCAATTTGTGAATTTGAACATAGTATTTGGTGGAATGTTGAACAAATTCGATTCTTTTAATTACTATTGTCGTTGATTATATTTTGATCCTGGGCACTATAATTCTTCAACTAATGTGTGTGA